ATATACAATATGCATGTTATGTACACAAGTTTTGAACAGTGCTTATATCCGTTGAATCCATCACGATAGTAAATGTATAATGTAGAGTACAAATATTGTTTTAAGAATTCAGGGACCATCGCCTTTCAGTGGGTTTCAATTAATTAATCAACTCTGTGTATATTAGACAATTGATCAGCGTGAGAAGTCTAGGATATTCAATGTGTTTCATTATCAGTGAAAACGAAATATTTAAAATAACGTAAAAAATAAAGCGATTTTACATATAAACGTATTTGATTTGATTTTCTAAAAGTAAGTTTCATAAGAATTGTGCCTAGGATACACCGTGGCATCGGTGCTCATGTCAACCCTCACCAATATTTAAAACCCATATTAAAATATCAAAAGCATGCCGTCAGGTTGTGACTGTTTTTGAATTTGTGATGCGCTTTTGCCTTGCTCCCAAACTACAAAATAATATCTTATTGTTTTCCCCTTTTTTTTAAATGGTAATGTTTATATATAGCAATTTGATAAGTAAAAATGAAAACAGTTTTACACTTACGCCACTTTGAATCGACTTTTCTGAGGAATCGTTATTAGTAATAAATCACACATGTTATCAGTACAAACTATTTATAATTTATATATTCTTTTACATTTGTAAAATTAATTATTTATGAAAGTTATGTTATGTATCTACTAAATAAATAATAAATGTCGTGAAAAATTAGAAATATGCATCTATGAGCCTCTATCAAACTTACCATTGCTTTATGTGTGAATTTCGTACTGATTGAGCTGTCATGTACTAAGCTACCTTTGTAGTGAACTTTAGAACAACTTTTTTGCTAACCTACACGGTTAAGTCAGATTTCTTTGATGACTGACATCAAGCATCATACGGCCATCAGGAAAATATGCATATAAATTCAGCGAGGCTGGCTGATGTTATTGTTCAGGGCCCATACTGCGTAAAACGCGATACTTCCAACTCATTTTGTAGCCGCGCTCGTGCACAATAGCGATGGTGGCCGCTTGGTCGAGGCACTGATTACACATTACCGTATATGGCGTCGTAGTGGGCGTAGATGGAGGGAGGATTCAACAGGAGGTGGAGTTATTATAATTACATCATCTTCATTAATTATTACGTGCGTGATTGACACATGTCATTTCTATTGATTGAGGACCGCAAGTAACTTATCGATTCGTGGTTGAGCATTGCCAGCCGAAGAAAGCGCTATGAGAGAGCGCAATGTAACACATATGATAATATGAAATTGCATTTTAATGTATTATTTAAGCTTTTGCAAAACATAAACACAGTTTATAGCCAGTGGTAAAAGATAACGTTAGATGTAAGTGGCTTCGTTTATTGCCTTTGGTATACGTTTTCTCTCTTCGTGCGTTGATTGACCAGGGTGAATGTGGAGATATACTATCTTAATGCCGTAAGTTACATGAACATCTACGATAACATATACCAATCAGTTTTCAGTTGATGTAAACTTGAATTAAAAATGTGTTAATGCCATATGTACGTGAGGATGCATTTAGATAATGTCAGTCATTGTAAATACATCACGGAAAAGGAAATATCGTTGTTAGAGTATGAAAAACGTTACAAATTGCTTTTTATTACGTATATTTTGTCTATGTGTGAAATCCATGTATTTATATTAGATTAATATGTTGTGCTTTTATGTAAATAATACACCACCAATTTCATGTAAAACAATGGTGTGCTGAATTAATTCGTCAATTGTAAATATTGTATGAGGTAACATGTAGGTCACTGATTTTGTTGTGTACAAATATCAGATCGTACATATCTGTTATGAAGATTTCTATTTCACTGTTCCTAGTTTTTTCTCTTCTGGATCATATATTTGGAGGGAGATCCATTACAGAATGTTAAATTCATTGTTTTAACTTAAAACGTAACCTACAAATAGACAATAGGATTGTAAATATTGTATTTCTCATTTACGGAAAGTTCAGAAAAGTTGGATTAACAGCCAAATATTTTACCCACACATGTCAGGTTGGAAAATTAAATCAGCAATAAATTATGAATAGGTTATATTAACCGGTTTGATATTTGATACCAAACAGTGTTACGCTTAATAACTATTTACAACAGCCATTCAGTATATAATTAATCGTTTTTAATATATAATTGAAAAACAGAATAGCCCATAGGATGTGTTGTGTGTAAAATCTATTGTATGGCAAAATATTTTCAATTATGATACATGTTTTGTGGGCTTTGTAACTTTGTAAACATAGAGTGACAACATTATCGAATTCACAGTTCACAGACATCAGAACATCCACGTCAGGTTGTGGCTGTATCTGATCCGACATATGGCGGCTATTGTATAATGACGGAGATAAAGTTGGGAATGAACTTAAGAGACAGATGTGCCACATTTTCTGTGTTATTCTGTCATAAAATGCAAATTAAACATGAATACATGATGTAGCTGTTTCAAGCACGGCGATTCTATCAGCAATATGTTTCCTCGTTTCATAGGTGATAGTGAATCGTTCAGAAAGAGTGTGCTGTTATCTTACATTTTACCATTTTATGTTTATTCACACCCTCACGTTTTGCTGTCGCTGGTAGTTCAATTGTGTCTATTGGAAGTAGTTTAATTATGTATTTGGGTTTCATGTAAACAAGTGTGGGTTCACCTTGTTTTCATTTTCCGCATTTAAACCATTTAGAAGTGATACACGTAAGGAAGAGAATGTATGGATGTCAACTTCTTTATTATGAGGAACACGTTTCGGAGTATATGCTTACTCCTTCATCAGGTGATGATAACACCTTTTTATGTTAATTATACTTCTTTATTTTGCAATGTCCAGGACACAATCGTTTAGCAATGTTAGATATTGAACCATGAACGTTATCTATTTTATTTCAAACTATGCTATGAACGTCCTAACATTTATAATTTAATAATATGTAATTATATACATAGCTGTTTATTAAGATTTAAATTCAAATTATCAATTTTGTAAATGTCTCTTTTGCGAGTTGTGTACCAAACTATTTGCTTACTACATATCATCTTGCGCTGACAGTAGTAGCTCTCTGATACTGCCCATGAGGCAGTGTAAGTAACTAATGTTATTAAGGTACTGTGTACGTTTCTTAAAATTGTGGTACGTTACAATTGACGTACCTCCACCACGTCCAATTTAACATGTACAAATGCATATCATGATTATACTTAAGAAGAATTATACGTATTAATCGATTATGCCCGTGATAATCTCACATTGAGAAAGTGTTGTTTTTGTCAGTGTAAATTTGTTTATTCATAAGTTCGGTCATAAACCTCAGTAACTAAAGCTTGAAATTTTCAGTGAAATTATTTTTATTTGCAATATGGATATAGCTTATGTAGTTTGAGGTAATCCTTTCTTGATAATAGACAAACTTACATGAATGTGTACAGTGATAGTTAGATTGTCCTTTGAGTTGGTTAAAATTCCATGTTTCGAACATTAAAAGCGTGCTACAGTGATGTTGTGGTTGTGACTATCAAATACTTATCGCCAATGTAGCCTGTGATCAGAATGAATTTTGAAGTTGTTTTATAATGAAACAGGTTTTATTTTCGTCAACGATCCTATCGTTTGTGTGGTATTATGTTTGTATGTGATATATTCATTTATTCTTATATCAGTTATATGTGAATATCGTATCTACATATAACAGATGGCCCTTGATGCTACGTTGATCTACGTTGATAAATGTGGAATAGACACCTAATAAATGTATCAAATAAGGTTTGTGGGTACTATTCATAATAATACTCACATGTTATTTTGAAAAGACAAAAATAAACTAAGAAAATGACTTTGAAAGTAATGTTTTTTAATGCATACATAGTTCTAGAATTATCCATGTAAATTTTCTGAATCACTTCTTGATTATCTCTACTGAAGCAAACGACCCCAACGATTAACGAAATCATTTAAATTCTACTAGGTATGTTAAAATTTCACGTGAACATTAGAGCCTCAAATCAGTCGGTTTGTTCCCGTGGGTATGACAGCATTTAATCATTGGGCTGGAGCCCCATACTAGTAATTACTGCGTTGACCAAAGTCCAGTTCGAAATCCAGCTATCATTACCCAGCAAGCTTCCAAACATCTCAACCATGGTGCGGACATTTTAATAGCACGGTAGAGTGTCCTAAGCCCGGATATTTCCATACGATGGCAATATTGTGGCCGTGGGATTACGTGACACAGCCATGAAGCAGTCAAGCCTCTATCCACCAAACGGGGGTTCCGGATCAGTTGAGTTCCCGTCTCCTTACAAAGCATCTATTTTCTCATCCACGATTCTCGATCTCTCCCTTCGGGGCCTCGCCAACCCAGTGTAAGACTGCCATTGTAAATGGACAAGAAGCGAGGGGGTTTCTTTGGCCGCAGTGTTTAAAGATAAACGCACTCTATTCTTACCGCTTGCTTCTCTTCAGTTACGCCTGTTTTGGAACCTATTGAACAAGGCACAGATTCAGGGTAAACTGAGCCTTGGTTTAAAACAGGTCCTTGCTATTAGCGTTACTCCTCAATTAATGTTTTATTGTAATGTTTACGACAATAGCATCGAATGATCAGATCATCGCCAGCGTTTAGATCCTCCCATTATCTCCAGCTGTCACGTTGACAAGTGATTGACAGAGTGATCTGATTGCTCGAAACGAGATCTGTTCGCCGAGCTCTCTCACAAGTGGGCGGAGCGCTTTCGAATTGGCTAATCGCGATCCGCCTTCTTATGGTAATGAGCTCCGGGATCGCAGCTCGCTTCGGCTGACTCGTATACGGAGGTCTAGTGTCACAGAAGCCTTCGCCTCAGCATAGTCATTAGATCCGTAGTCGATGTTAGGCCACGCCCCCAGTTACTGTGGCAGTCACTGCACGCGAAGATCTCAAGGCTCCGCCCACTGCATGATTTTATTAAACATGTGTTTTAGAATTTAGTCGATGAAACGAAAGGCTATCCCCGGGTTTAGTGGAGCTTCTATAACCGATGGAGATGGCATTCGGATGGCATTAAGGCTTAACACTTGAATACGTTTCTGCATCACCTCATTCGAGTTTTTTCCTCAGTTGTCAAATCAGTGGACAACTGTTTGACAGTGTATTAGTGCACACATCGGACTAGGCATATACACAGCCTATTGGTTACTAAGCCATCCAACTCTGCACGGCGCGGATCTACTTCCTACGTAACACTCACACGAACGTTTGGCAACATTCTGTCAAAATTGTGTTTTCTGGCAAATAAGTCAGCGATTTCACACTTGCAAGGACCTTCTTAAGATTCGTGGACAAGTGTGCAGTGACCCTTGAAGGAAGACGTCTGTGTCCTTCTCAAGGTATGTACAATATTTGCTGCATAATTCCTCCTTGATAATGCATGGCAATGTTCGCCACTCTCCTCGCATATAGGGAATGTCGTTCATTCCACATAGACACACGACGATGTGCACTCCTTGAGACTGGGTAGGATTCATTCACTTCAACACCCGCCTAATCATTCGTACTGTATAAAATATGTGTATATTAATTCCACTATCTCCTAACTATTCTTTCAGTCGTTGCCTTGTCACTTTAGTTAATGAAGGGTTTAAAGACATATCACCCTTGTGAAAGATCGGGAATCGGAGCGGAATACCGACTTTTGTCAAAAGTTGCATGTAAATATTATGTTGTCATTATGACTGCTTCATCGTAAATAATGTTTGAAATTATTCGAATGGATTGCTATACTCGATGTTTCTTTGTAATGTGCATCTGCATGAATACACGCCTAGAGGCATGTTGTTTATTCAATCGGAGAAAACGATCACACTGAAATAGAACAGTATATTAGGAACAGTTATAACACAACATTATCATGTCTAAATATAACCCACCGCCAACACTTCAAAATTTTTCTGAATGTACAATTTATTTTCATAACAATTCCTTTAATTTGAAAGAACTTTGCCCAAATTCCTTTATTTATATTCAACTATTAGATCAGATAGAATTATTCTTTGGTAAACATTAATCAATACTGGCATTTGAGGACCATTATGATTGAATACATATCAAGTATTGAATGATATGATGTTTGTTTGGTTTGTGTTGTGGGCAGACGTATAAACATTACAAAGTTTATATTTCCATTTGTCATGTAAATAAACTCCAGAACGATGTTGCTTAATCGCTCCCACCGATTAAGGTTTTCGACCCTAAAGACCCTATTAAGTGTCCGTTAAGTGTTTAAACCGCAACAATTAAGATGACTTAATCAAGACGCTCACAACTAACCCGACAAACACTCAATATCAAAAGCAAGTCCCTCGCTTGGAGCGGTTTCTTCCAAAAGCGGAGACGGGAAATGCAGAAGACGGCTTGCAAGAAGTTTCCCCGTTAGCAATATGATCTTTTTATCCGTGAAATTGACACAAATCATTCATCAAGATGCATATCATATTTTACCGTAATATTTATCAGTAACGATAAGGCATAGCCTTTCAAGACCTCGCTTAATCGTTAGTATATTGCTACAAGCGGTGATAAATGTCTGTAATCTCCATATCTGGCCCTCCTTACCTTCATGCCGCAGGAATAGGAACTTGCCCTACTATTAAGAATATACTTGCTGTAATAATGCTTCATCTTTTCGCGAACACCTGGTATCACCACTATTTGATAGTGATTTATAAAAGCATACTTATGATAAAGTCGGAATCATACAAGGACTGTGCTTTTTGCAGAGAGTTCTTATGATTATGGAAATGGTTTTGTCGCCCAAAAGTCCGTTTTAATATCTCATACCAAATCCAAACAAAACGCATATCTAATACTGTTATTTACATTTAAAAGATTAGTTGGTGTACACACGTGCCGTTTATGAAAACCTCAAAGCAACACATATTCTTACGTATTATATGAAAGTGTTATGATGTGTTGTCAGTATTTAAATCTGGTTTATGAAAAGCTCAGCTCAGGAATAAGGAAAATCCGAGAAAATCTGCTTAAACTCGGAATACTATTACAACATAAAGAAATACTACTCAACAATAGAGATATATTCATATTTCCTTATAGATTGTCCAAGCAACATTTGATGAAATATTTTGTCTCAGCAAAACCCGAGTAAATATCAATATTTCAGTATCAACGTGACGAAAGTTGTCAAATCTTCTTCCAAAGTTACTCAAAACCTACCTTGATATAGAAATTAAAATATATCATATAATACACCACCCATAATATTATCCATTACCAGTAAGTCAATACGCATATTGGAAAATATTTGTACAAAAATATCCGATTATAAATTCGCAATTCATGTTCCCACAATACACTGTTGTAAAGATGTCCACACTATTACAAGTGAGGCAAACGCCTCTATTCCTTTTCCTAATCCTACCAGACTAATCCAGTAAATAAGTGCTTACAACGATGTCAACACTTATCAGGGGTGTTACTGATAGAAAGCGAAGATGATACAGACAGTGAATAAGATACATATCATCATGATTAATCTTGAAACAAGAAAACAAAGAGAGTACTAGTTAAACTTGTTGGGACCCAATGATTCAGACCCCAAGGAGGTGAGTAAATCTCTGACACTTTCCCCTAAATTAGTAAGGAGTATGTGCCTAAGGCTCTTTTCCCCCTCTGTTGCCTTACGACAGTTCTGCCCCATCTGGTGTGCCTGTCAACGTCACAACTCGCGTTAGGCGTCTTAGTTACAAAAATAATACGGACGACTTTCAAACCAATAATTTCAGGGATTTTGCAATTTAACATAGAGGGACGAGTGCCATTTTATGGCTATCAAGTAATCAAGGCCTGTTTTCAACATGTAATCCAAAACCATGATTAGTGTAAATTTTCGTGTTTTATTTTCTAAACCATCCGCATAATCAAAACACGAAGATTCAAATTTGGTTAAGGATTTGAATGAATAAATTTTCAAGAGCACATAATAGAATTTTGCAAGAATGCAAAATAATGGAGAAAACAGTCCAAGTCCATTTCAAAGCCAGTGTTTATATTCCGTTGAAAATTATACCGGTACTTTATGTTTTAAATATGTTGAATGCTTCATGCAAATAGATGATAAAAAGTATCTGTTTGACAACATAGCCTGGTTTTTTATATGTTACATTTATTTTCTCCTAACACAAATACTCATCTGAAATAACACCTGCATGGTATTAACAGATAGCCCAACTCTACAATAATGTCAGATAATAATAGTCTCTTAATATATCATCTACCAATCGAGCATTAACTCAAGCGTCAAAACCAATTTGTCACAATCGCTAATGGTGTATATTCACTTGAAGGAATTAGATATGTATATATGTATCTTTTGTAAAGTCTTTATTGGATTAAACCTCGACTTCAGCTCTAAGCTCAGTAAATGGCCCTGTTTGATTGGATCCTTAATCCTAATCCATCCTCATATTTACTATTAATCCCAATGGATATGACCAAATCGAACCGTAACTGTTAACATATCTTATGATTTAGCATTTACTATATGGTGTCAAAATATGAATCGTTATCTTAATATTATCATGCTGTTAAGATTTTCCAGACGACATTGTGGCAAAATTATTTTCTAGTACGATGAATGATTACTATACAGAAACATCGAAAGAATTTATGGCAATTTTCAGCGAAGTCGTTTAATCTTTTATTTGTCTGTGTCTCCCTAGACAATAATGGCTGTATCATCTTGAACTATTTATTTCAAGTGCGGACAACACTGGTCAATCGTTGAGTTAAATTGAGTTAAGTTGACTTGAGCATCATCCATTATCTTCTTTCATAAACACATACAAATAACACTAAACTTGCTTATTTCGCTTCATTCATTCTCCCCACTGTTGTGAGATATATTAATATTGCATTTCCAAAAAGAAAAATAAGAAACAGTATCATCTGTAGGAAGCTCAAAATGTCACATTAAGATCCACCGAATCTCCACTCGTACAACTGAAAGAGCTAAATGAAGCATCCGTATTCTTTATATAAGATACTATACCATCAAACCAGCATTCCTGTATATCGCTGTGAGGCAACAATGTGCATGCCGTGATATTGCAGTAGGTACAGTGAAATGCACGGTGAGGTCATTACTATGCAGATCCTTGCTAGTCATTGATTGACAGCCAGATCAATGTACCTTATCATTTATACACAGACACATCGTGAAGCACTACAAATCCCCTTGACGTTCTCCACCATCCAAACTTTGTATTCACAGTCTATTTCTTCTTATTTTATTAGTATTTGCGTGTATAGATTATAGGCTAACCTATCCTGGATTGATTGTACCCTTCTCAACCGTGACCGGGGTAAAGGTTTGGTGGTGGAGTTGGGCCCTGGAAGCCTCAGAACATTGCGTCGACTCCATTACCCAATACGTTGTATGCATTTGTTATGAACATCACACGATACCATCCTCACACAAACGTCCCTCTGAATTCATATTTGTTGATACTCTGTGGGTCTGAAATGATATTCAATAGCTGACACAGATAAATGGTCGACTTCAGCTGACGAGAAACATATCTTTTTGTCGGGGAGCAGATGCCTTTCAGAATAGTTATGATAAAATGGCATGCACTTGTATGCAAATTTCATAAATGTCAAGAAATGCTTTGAATGAAACAAGAAAATATCTTTCAGTGTCAAATGCATAAAAGAACTATGTTTCTGAATAGGATCAAGGTGATGTTCATTTCAATCAATAACACTGTTTGTGTCAGAACAACAACGTGTTAGAAACTATATACAGAACAAACATTGAGCCAATTGTGAAACAGACATTACGCATAATTTGGTGATGTTCATTGTTGCTTACAATCCTATGCTTACACTGTGGGAGAGAAAAAAAACAACAATCCAATTTCACATGGAAATGCATTAGGAGTCGGGAATCCATTTCATCGATTTCATTATGTGGTGAAGTAGGCATTCTTCCTCGTTTTATCTTAGTTTTTCTTCTTCTTTCGTGACCAAGGATATGTAGATATTGTCGTCTGCATTTCACGATAAGTTTGAACGCATTTGCGAGAGCTCGAACTAGTTCCATTGAGCTTAGAACGCCGAGCGTGAACGATTGGCCTGCATGGACTGCCGCTTTCATGAGAAGTCTAGTGATATTGTTCCCCGGCCAATCAGCTCCTTAGCTGTAGAGGGGCAACCCACGATCTGAGACACTATAGCACTATAGCATGGAGGTGATACTACTACTACATACACGGGTGCCCTGTATTGAACGGGATTCCTCCTACCCTTAGGGATATAGTGTAGGATGGACACCCAGGCTAGCGTGGCCCACCTTTCCTAGGAAGTTGATGTCAAACTGATACACTGTCTCGCCTGAATGTAAGTCAGCCTCGGTCTATCTAGCTGTTGAAGTATGTGACAAGTCACACTTAGCTCTGTTTTCGTCACAGCGTGACACGACCACTGGACAGCCAGACTCAACACCTCTGGACAATATTCAACGATGCACTTTTTCTGTGACCCGTTCTCATAATGATGTGAGACTTGTTGTAGCATTTCGGGTGGCTTCGCCGATGAATGAATGACATTATTGATACTAGACTGTTATGTATATGTCCAGGTATGGACATAAACACATGTGTTCCCAATATACTTAATAATATCCAAATGCTGAGCGTACCTTGCGTCCTAAATTGCACAACAAGCGCTTATGCCTTTGCAGGCTTATCAGCGGACAAATTGTTGATATAATCCGGTAATTATTAACATTCAGCGACCAACCCGAGGGTGGGTTTAGCGTGAGAGAGGAATTATCGTCTCCTGGGCATGAGCCGTTGCGTAGGCACAGTGTAGAACAGAGGACATACGATACAGGCAGTTTGAAGCCCAATCTTTCTCAACTCCCTCAAGGCTGAAAACGGCATCTGATTTGGTCCGTGAGCGTTGACGATCTCCTCCCGTCGGCCATGTTTATTACAAGCGATTAGAACGACGGGATGTTGTATTTCAGACACCGAGCACGACAATTCAGGTGTGACCTCATACAATATAATTTAGGTATTTTGCGAGTAAATCACTGGTTCTTTTACCCCCTCCAGACCCTTCTAGTGTGGCCAACCTCCGGAGACTGCATGGACGCCCGGTAAACCACTACTACACGACTTTGGATTTATCTTCTCGCGAACAAGTGTTTGTTGGAGCAGACGACAAAACTGACAAGCAAACTGGATAGCTCACAGTTTGAGGACGCCATGCCTGCGAAAGGTTTGTCACCATTTATTACATATACACAAATCATAGATTTAGTACCACGTGAATTCGAGCCCTTGTGAGTGGTATATACAGACATACCATTACGAAATGTAAAAGGAACTTTTATAGACAAATGTAAACATCGGCCATTTTCAACCGTGAATCTGTAATCGTATATGATGTTTTTCTCACAATTTCATATTTCATGTTATTTCATGAGATATTAGTCCTGTGGTTATTTTGTCATGTAACCAAACTGGGGGATTTAAAGGTGTAAAACACTTTCTCTTTTTTCACGTTTTCTGTTATTGATACTTTTCACGTACAATAAAAAGTAATTCAATACTGTAAGAATATTTTTTTCAATTAGGTTACACGTCACCATGATCTATCTTGACCATACAATCAAGTGTCGTATAAAGCATTACTCATTTACACAATCAGCATTTGATCCACGCAATGTCTTCAAGATGTTTTGATTTACATGAATACCAGTATTGGATTTTCATTTTTCACATTTGTTTAATTCATATATTCATATACATCAATATTTCTGAAAATACAAAAATAGAGTATAAACAAGATATTGAGCATATTATTTCAATGGATGAATTAAATATGGATTGAAAAGGAACTGCGTTTTATATCTTGAATAAATTGTTTTATTTTTTAGTATTACTGGATCCAAAATGTTTTACAGAACACTATATTTTATAACATGTGTCTACTAGTACATTTACCATTCTACTTCACGTCTAAATTGTTATATAGTATTTTCCTACAAAATGATAGCACAACAAATATGTTTGTTACATACATTGATCAAAGAGATTACATTTAAAAGTGTAAACATGGGTGTATTTTTGTTGAGAATCCAGTTCGATTTGTTAGTGTTTTTCACGATACAGTTACAGTTTACACGTTACTCCTGCTTTGAATTTGGGAACATCCACGGCCGAAGTATTTTCCTAAACGGGTTAAAACCTTCTTAATGGGCATTTTTATGTAGGCTCCAACAATACAAAAATCTGTGATTAAGGTATAGACTTGAGTTATTTTCTATTATATTTATTGTCTGTATAGCTATGTAGCCGTGCTATTCAGGGAGCTGTTTCTTCTATATAGTGCAGCTGGTATGAAGAAGACGATGATAAAATTCATATAGGAGTAATGAAAAGCTTTTCTCAGCGTGAAGAGAAACTGGTAGAATCTGAGGTAATAGCATACGCCCAACTCAACGGGATGTCAGGAAAATGGCGACGAAACAACACCGCCTTACGCAGTATTCAATCGTTAGAAGAAATTGGCCATTTCCGATAAAATCGGACTGTGTACGATCACGTTTTCAGACATGGAAACATTAAGTTGACCTGACGCGAAACACAGGATTGTCGTAGCAAATGGCTAAAAGAGACAAGTTAGGGGTTTTCTATGACTTGAACGATTTCTGTAGTTAGCCCCGTCCTTATGATACCGATCTGTGTCAAGATTTGCAAGTGCCGTGTCCGAATTCCGTTAAGTCCTCCCTTGTAGAAGTGTCGAAATTGTAATGAATACCAAATACTTGCCAATAGAAGGAACACCGTCTTAAAGATCTCTCGACATCAATAAATTAAGACGATAGAAATCAAGAGTCCGGAGTGACTAGCGATACTGGTGGTTAGGAGAACCTAGCCATGGTTCTCCTTCGACTCATGTGAGACTTCAGTGCTAATTGACAAAGGGGCTTTCCCTTATCCCAGCTCCCTGCTCATGCATTTTCAACATTTCGCTTGCTAAGTCGACTGTAATTATAACTAAATCCTTTGAATAATGATGCCCGCAATATTTTATCGTTTGCTACGACCAGAGGCCTGGCGCTGTCCAAAAGGATGCTGCTATCTCGAAAGGGATTCGGATCGGGGATAAACGTTTTATATGGTAGCCTTAACAAAATGCAGACGCTCTCATTAGGTGACTGTTAATTTTTCAGCGTCATTTCCTTCTTATCCTCCAAGATTAATTTGTGATTTCAATAAAAATCATTTCATATGCTGTCAACTGTATGAAAATGACGTGTTTACACTATACAGTATAGGAATGAACACTGCCAGCATGTGATCTGGTTTAAAGCAACGGTATAGATATAGGTATTTAATGGTATTATTTAATCCAGTGAAACGTTAAAACCAAAACAATGCATTAGTTTACCAGTGTATCTATTCGTCGGGCTCTCTCTCTCTCTCTCTCTCTCTCTCTCTCTCTCTCTCTCTCTCTCTCTCTCTATCTCTCTCTCTCTCTCTATTTTCGATGTCGTGCTTTCAAGCAGTAACGTCCACAAAAGTAACATTCCCATTCCCACTGTAATCTTTTCCTTTTCAGTCGTTACTTTCCTTGTAACTTCAGGCCACTAGCAAGCTAAATACGATGTATGAGGCAATTAAATTCTGTAATGGCCATGTAGATGTACACGCGTGTTAAGACGGCACGCTAATTTAATTGCTATCCTGTTTTAAAATGTAAGTGTCATATTGTGTATCCCTCACATACACTAATTCCATGTTTTCAAGTCACTGAGACTGACTAGAAGCTTTGATCGATTTTTTTAGAATCAAATTCACAGAACTGTCACCAATGCCATATCAGGTTTGGAAACATCTCTTTGATCACGTGATCATCTAGTGAAAATGTAAACAAAGTATTCAGGCGACAATCAATCATTCTAATCGATCTTGACCATAATTTTCTCAATTAACATAGCGTCACAAACAATTCCATTTTATGGGAAACAATTTAACCTAGGCCTCCATCCAGCATAAAAATGAAATAATAGCTAATACAGTAATGAAATTGGGTTTCTTCAAAGCAAATTTCATAACAGTTATCAAACCAGGACGTTGCATTTATTTTGATGCGGAACGTGTTTTGTCACATTACCTGACATAATTTTTATGAATGTGTGAGTGCGTTTATATCATGGAACTGGATATCAACACTCCAACTATTGAGATACTCATTTTTTACACATTTATAGCATGAAAAGATTCCCATGGTAGGGGCTAAGCGTTGCACAGACACATATGCATAATAAGCTGGGAGGGAAAGAGTTGACATGTCTGAAGGATTTAAGCAATCTATCACGTGTCTCGACCAACTTCAGATACAGAGATGGAGATGAGACATGCATTCACGTTTACCTGTCCCGATTAATTACTTACAGGTAAGACTAAAGAGCGATCTCACTCCCGTAGTGGCAAAGAGCCGTCCGTTCTGTGTGTACAGTATGAAAAGCCTGGGGCTATAGTGTATCTCCTTGTCTTGGTCCTCTTTCCTGGCGTTTGGCAGAGACTGGCGACGGTCCTATCTATCATTGTTGCTATGTATTCGAAGAACAACGTGCTAATATGGCAGATATGAAGTGGCCTAGCTTCTCTGATTCTCATTTATATCTTGTTGTGTTCTCCAGAAGAAGACACGAGCCCTAATAGCACCAACCACAGTGATGCTGGGAGCACCGGCAGTGGAAGCAATGCTAAGAAACATACACGTAAACGAGGTAAGACATTCATTATAATCCATTATCAAGTAGAATCATATATTTCTTTGGATAATGCATGATAATATCTGACAAGTTTCTTCTTTTCTAAATTTACTATACGCCAATGCACTGTATATTATGCCACCTGTATTTTTTCTAACAGACACCATAAATGGGAATATTAAAAAGAATTCTCATTTTCTTGATTTTTGTATTATCAACTTTTAACAATGGTATTGTTACTTACATCAAATAAGGATCATCAAGTTATGTTGACAGAGGAGAAACCCTTCTGTTTATTTTTGTTGTTAAGGTTAATGAGGGTTCTCATATAAGGTGCAACACAAATTTATAAAGACAGTTTATGAAAGCTAATGTTATATTGAATATAATATAGGCGGGTATTTGAGAAAACTATATCGAACTATTTGTAGATGTGAGTATATCCGTTCGATCTGTTTTATTTATGATTAAGATACAGAAGACACAGAAGGGAATATTAATCAATATTGTGTTATTTGAACAACAACAGACATATTGTCTCATATGTAATTTGGTGAGAAATCGGTCAGAATTATGCTGATCGAGACAATGTTAAAAACTTTAGAGTTGTGTTTTAAGCAAACTGGCGTTCTGGACTTGCATTGTGTAAGCATACATGCACGTGTGTCTGAACTGTTAGGTTCCACGTTTATATTTGGTTACTCTGCCGTGTTTAAGACATTCAATAATTAATCATAAGTCATGCATCAGAGAACTAACACCAACAGTAATATCTGTTACTTCTAGTGCTTAGACGATCAATGTGTTTGATAATTAATGATCATACATCTATGGCGTAGTTTGTATTAGGCGGTCTGAGTTGGGGTGGTTCTTTCTACACGAGGCTACTATGAAATGTAATTATATTTTGTTAACGAAGCTATAACATCTGGACGTTCTTTTATTGTTTTACCAACATACATGTGCGAACCGACCCAGTGCAAATCGTGGACTTATCCAGATGAATCAACAAGGGTGAAGTGATATAACGTTGATTTTGTATTCACGAAAATATACGTACGTTTCCGAATACACATTCACAACACTCGTTCAACAATCATAGAGTGAAAACTCCGTTTCCTGTCCCTACATATTTTGATAATAGTTGTATATGTACAGAGTAAGACTAAGTTTTAAGTTTTCACTGCGTTGTGTTACGTTACCATTTGTGAAAATGCAGTATATCAATGTGAAGGCGTCATATCATCATTACAGTGAACAATATTTTGCGACAAATATTCGACGTTATTTGTCGGGCATTCGCCACAATCAATGATTAGCAACAGTATTTAATCTTTAACCTCAACGATAATGTGAAAGATACCGACATTCATTTCATATTTCATAGCGCTCTGTCTACTAAACGAAACGTAAGATATGAGATAAGATACCTTCGATAAAAAAGCCTTGATTTATGAATAGCAATTAATGTCAGTTTTAATTAGAAAAGTTCAGAATGCGAGTGGTATTATATGAAAGCAGTGTGGTGTTGTCATATTTCCTTCATTTTAAGTCTCATACCTGGCATATAGAATTCCAGAGAATTTTTTGCCAAGCTCCGTGAAGAAAAATCGATATGTCACCTTAAAAAGATTGAATATTTTCGCTTTTCGCCACCGTCTATTGCCTCGCTTGCTCAGCAGAACTCATGATACTGTCGACATCAAAAGCTCATGTCTTACAATCTGAGCTAAAACCGCCAGAAATTATGCGGAAATTAGCATATAAATAATTAGATCCCATCGCATTTACCTGGCATGCTTATTTCAGTAATTTAGGAATCAAGCCCTCTACTCCTTGACAATCTTCTAAGGCCGGTTTTCTCTTTTCATTACATTCCATAAGCACTTTTGATCTTCAGTGCCGGCCGGGGGAAGAAGTTCTTTAATCACACTTTAATACTTTTCCGATGAAGTCCGTATTTTTACTAATTGGTCATGTCAGACTTTTAATCGAAGGATAGCTTGACGTGGTTTAATGTGTACCAGTCGATGATGTTGTTCTCTACTGGGTACATAAGGGAAAAGGTCATGTTCAGTTTGACGTCATATCCGTAGTTTCGTGAATACATCGCCATTATGTTTTAGTAATTGCACACTTACAAAATAAGCGTACTTGTGTTGAAGCTCTTTCACAATAGTCTTCGTTACCTTTATGCTACAGATATTTTTATTTGTACAACCTTTCGGAGCTAAGTGTATGCCTATATCTTACAATTTAGTGTTATAACATTACATCCAAACCGCTCACAATATCAACACAACTGGTTATTATAAAGACCACTGTTTTGTCGTGTATTATAACCTATTCCAATATACGTGTTGTCTTTCCCTGACAATAAGATTAATTATCAACATGATAAGTATTGAAATCATATTCTTCTTTTCACAGTTCAAAATGTGAACGTGTCTAAGCTTTGAGGTTCTCAGCCTTCGTCAGCCTTTGACAACCACCATGTGATCTATTTACACTGCCACCAAAATGTAAAGTGTGGGCAATAGCTTCCCTCCACATTGATCTTACGCCGTATCTCTCAGCCTCAATCAGGTCTTTAATTATCGGCGTTAGGAGCCGTAATTTAACCCTGACAACGAGACAAATAAATATTCAATGTTCCTGTTTGATTTCGAGTTGTTTTGGTTGTAAGGACAACAGGACTTTTAATCGGTAATATCGCCGTGAACGTTTGCAATATATTCATCTGTCACTAGATGTATTTCCGAAAGAAAAGTGTAATTACTACTGCAGAAGGACCGGCACTTATTTCTTTGATAATGCTTCAACTCTGTTTGAACATTGTGCCAATATTATAATACTACAACTGTTCTAGCTTCGGTTGTGTACTTTATGCCATGAAAATAGACATGGCATGAATAGATGTATGACGTTACCTTGTCTTATTTATGCACATCCCAATTTCACGTTATGACGTAACAACTGTGTAATATATACATTTGGTGTGCACAGATGATAAGATATGACGCTGGAATTGTAATCACAGTAAGATGTTTTACACAACACAAAACCATCACTTCTTCTGTCATTTTGAACAAAGCGTCTTGTATTATGAAATCAGTAGTATTTTGTATACGTAATGAAAATGATATGACCAGAAACTTTCTCAAAGCTGGTTACAAAATGATTCATATCTTATCGAATAGCCCTCCTTGGCGCACTCAGTATATGTTGTTTCTCCAAGTGGAGCGGAAACATGTAATAATTACACATAAACTTAATTCAAGAAACTTCACTGACTTGTCATTGGTGGCACGATACTGTTTTCACTGTTTGTTAAACTGAGTGTTAAATAAGCTCAGTGATCAGCTTTGTATAAACCCTTTCTCCTGATCATAAATCTGATTTCAAAAAGCGTATATGAATAAATGTATTCGTAAAAAGTTTTGAAACTAAAAGGTTTAACTGTATCATTTAAATATATATTTTTACTTTTCAATTTTACATCCATGATCAAATCCACTGCGGCATTATTATTATTATTATTATTATTATTATTATTATTATTATTATTAATCCGTTTCGTCAGATTTCTTTGTAATTGATCTCCAAATTGTTGGAATATGAAAATACGTAAACTGCAACGAATCTGGAACATGTTACAGAACTAGTTATTCATGTTTGACAATTTTGGAAAATGAGGTCTCTGGATTGAAGTTTTTATTCCCTTCGTTATCATTCCCGTCTGTTTCAGCTTGATTTCCAGTGTTTGGGTTTTGTGTGTCCTGACTGCCGAGTTGTTAAACACTATTCAAACAAAACCCGAGACGACACTTAGCTGTGTAGCAAAACATGCTTAAAAGATGCTAAGGACCCAAACCGTTGCCAGATGCATGTATTTCCCACTTCAAAGGCAGCGCGTATCAGAGCATGTGTTGGCACAACCATAGGCATCAGCAACATTGGCATAACATTCCGAAAAAATAACATCTAAAATCACAATATTTGAGAAAATTAATGAACAGATTCATCTAAGATGTCCTTCAGTGTATCAAAAACACAAGGAACAGAGTCCTTGTAACAACTTGCTGACGGTTCGTTTGTTTTTATTTAACAATTTGGGCACCGCAGATAAACTGTAGTTTGTTTATCTACAACAAATTGCATTCTATGAACACGGTGTTCGTTCGGTTTCAGCTTCTGGTTTATGGGACTCCAGTAGAATGAACTAGCTCCCCTTTGAAAAATTCCAACTTTGTTTAGATGATTTTCTAGACATATGGACACTCGTAGAGACATGGCATTGGAAAAAGCAGATAATTCAAAGAGGGCGACAGAAGAAGTTATTTTTTGTAACTTAACCAAACTAGGCATGGGAAGTCCCAAAGCATATTCCGGGGTTTTTTATTTCCCACGACAAGGCTCTGTTATTACTCTTTTTGGCAAATAGGGCGTCATTTTTATTAGAAATAATACAAAGTATCCTACAAGTTGTGACAGTCGCACTTTGGAAATATTTATGCTGAAATAAATCCAACTTATATATCAAAAGGTGGCTGCTTTCTTTATATTATCCCGGGCACACTTTTGGCGTTCTTGTAATGCCGTGCTATCACATTTTCATGAGAACAATTTAATCAGCCATAAGACAGCGGCGCTCATGTGTTTATTCTTCAAACAGTTTTCACTTAACACAATGTTGACATATGATATTAGTCTGCCTTAAGCCGTTTGTGGTACTTCTTCAATGTATATTCTTCCATCATACATGATCAGAGACACAGACAAAGCTACTTCACATGGGTCGTTGTCGTGCTCGAGTTCATGATCACTTCTAGTAAATGCTTCATTTAATTTCGATATTTTTATGGGCCGTAGAAGCACAGGTCAGAATTACCAAAACCTTCACCATGACACGGTGACACCAGCGACATATAAGTGACATTATGTTTCTTTTGTATATACAAGTTTGAAAGAGATGAATAGTCAAAGTTTACATTTTTCTTTCACAGTTCTATTTG